TTAAAAAAAAAAAATGTAACAAACACCCTCTAAAAAGAACATTTGTGATATTTGAATAATAATTTATTTATCACACTGATGAGTGATGACAACATTCATTGAAACCTTTCCGTAAAAATGTCTCAGTAATAACATAATTTTCATCATTTGATTAGAAATAAAGTCGTTGTCAGTATTATACAAATAAACTATGGGAGTTGATACGTATGTATAAGACAATTAAACTTAAGAAACATAAATTAAATACTTAAAAAATACAAAATGATTCAATTTCTGTTTGCATAATACTTTTAAATCCACATATTTTTTTATTTTTTATTGCCAAAGTAAATCGCAGCTTTCCATTTATTTGTAAAATAAGTGATGACGATTAGAGGATGACGTGTAAGGTATATCATTTTTTGTAAAGTTACAAATAAATTCAGTAATTATCAGTGTTGAAGTCAATAACAAATTACTTATTGCTTGCATGTAATTCATGATAAATTTAGTATAATTTAATTTTATAAATGGACATTGATATAATTTTTGTAAAATAATTAGAAAAGAACATTTAAGTTGTATTATATAAATCATAGGAAAATAAAAAATATTTTTATAAATTCAAAATTTGTGATATATGATGAGAAAAAGTAGTTTATGCATCTATATATATATATAAACAGATTTACCATTTTTAAAAAATGACAGGTCAACTTCTTAGTCAAACAATCTTATCATTAATTACTTTCTAATTCTAGCAAATCTATTACTTATCTTCCTTAATTCACGCATGCAGCATTTAATTCATTGGAGTTGTCAATCTATGCGTTTTATATATCCCTTTTTAAATTGTCATATTCACATTTAGATCTATTTTTTCGAAATTCAATTTTTTTACTCCATTTTTTAATTTCACCCAAATCTAAAAGAACATAAATTGAATAAAAATATATTTCTTTTTTAAGAAAAAAGTGTACTACAATTAATCCAAAAAATTATACTATTCAAGTGAACACAAAATGATAATTTTTACATTTAAATCTGATTTTTTTATGAACACAAATTCTGTTAATATGTAAAAAAAAAATACTGAAGTCTTTAATACAATTTGTTAATTTTTTAATAGCGACGAGATTAACATTAATCTATATCTATATATTTATATATAAAAAGATTAACTATTAACCAAATTTAGTAGGAAGAAAAGTCAACAATATTTATTACATTCTTATTTTGGTAATTTTACAATTTTCTTATTATCGTTTGGAAAAAAAAATACAATTTTCTTCTTAATTTATTGCAATAACATCGTACTACCATAAATGAATCCTAAATTCATCAGTTTATTATTTTTCCTTTTAATTAATTCCTAGAAAATCGGTTTACAATAATGTATCCTAGATGAGTTTTGTGAATTAATGAATTCTAAATTCGACAATTTATTAATTTTCTTTAAATTAACTGCTAGAAAATCGATCAACCATAATTGTATCCTAGAATAGATGGGTTTTGTCATTCGGGTACTGTTCATGATTTGAAGAATTCAAAGTTCCTTATCACTTTTTTTTTGGTTAAAATCTGTTTGCATAGAAAATCTACTATCATTTCGAACTTAAATTTTAATATTTTTTATCCATTATTTAGTTGCATTAAAATCTGGCTGAAAAAAAAAATGAATTTGGCAAAATACTTTGTTTAATAGCTTTTTGAGAAGAAAATAGCTTTTTAGAGAGTTCAACTTTTTTATTTGGTCAAAACAACTAAAATTAGGGTTTGGTTAAATAGCTTTTTGCTTTAGTTGATTGGGTTTATAAGCTAAAAATGAAAACGTTAGAAATAGGAGCATTTTGCAACAACTTATGCATATTGGATAAATTTTTCATTTGTTTTTTTTTTTTTAACTTTTT